GACTGCTGCTAAATGCAAACCCACCTTTGTGAGAGTTTCTAAATGTAATATGTAATTTAATGTGACAGTACAGAGTTTTGTTTTTCCCGTTATATGTTTTCATTGTTCTGTCTTTTTGCATCATGCACATTTTCTACAGCATCCCACACTCTAACCCAAAACGCTATTTGCAGTCTTCTGCGTGCTTCCTGTGTAAAAATGCCTCAGCACCGACATGACAGGAGCTTTAATCTGTGCCTATATGATAACAGACAGCATCTGAGGAGCTCATTTTCTGTTTCTGTGCTCAAACTTTCCCCCAGAAAACTTTAGAAAACTGGCTCAAAGCTGGAACAGATTGAGTGACGGAAATAACAGCACATGGCCGCTGATTTAATTCAACTGGGGGAATCAGCTCCAAGCGGCTAAACTGACCTAAATGTTATTTATTCACTGCAGTTAACCGACAAAATAAAGCTCACAGGAGGACTGAGATATCACAATTTTAAATGGTTTCACAAGAAGATGCTGCTGATTCAGGACTGGGATCATCCCCTGTGTCATCTCTGTGTAAACGTTGATGGCCTTTCATGTCTGTGGTTGTTGTATCTTACAAACCAGTTTGTTCTTGGAACACTTTAAGCTCCTCAGTCCTTTTTCCACTTGTTTACAAGAATCTAATTACTCAAGAAACCAGAGACCTGAAATGTAAATATGTTTTTTTCGCAGCTTGGGACCTTTTTTTTTTTTTTGCCGTTTAGAGGAAAACAATCCTGTCACTTTAGACAGAGAACAGATGCTTCAACAAACGAACTCTACCTATAATTACATGAACACATTTACTGTGGATATTTATTGTAAGTCCAACAAGAAAATAGTAAATACAAGATGCATCCTGATATTTAAAAAGGTGGCAGACTCTTCCAAAGCAGTTCCATGGCTGAGCCTGAATACAGAATAATTACTGCACAGAAAAAGACATTTCAGTCTTTTTGGATGTTTCTCAGGTTTTTATCAAAGGAGCTGAAATGCCTCCCAGGATGTAACCTTGAACACACTGATCAGATTTAGCTTCCTAATCTTGTTGTGCATCACGCTGATCCAACTAAAAGGAAATCTTTGGTGAAATAATTCTTAACATGTACAGCAAATGTGTGTGGATGACAAGTGGCTAATATTAATGATGAATGATCTTTCTTAAAGAGTGAAACAGGGTTCTGTCCTCGGCCCACTTCTCTTCAGTTAATTAGATTCATGTTGTATGCTGCTGATCCTGATACATCAACTATTTGGTCAGTTTGACCCAAACTGTCGCTCAGCATCATGAAAAACTACCAGTTTACTGTTCTTCGCAGGCTCAACAGCATAATGAGCAGATTTTACAAGTAACATATCTTAAACTTCAGTCAGATTTCCAACTAATCTGAGGAACACATTTGTTTACAAAAAGCTATTTCTGTCCATTTAGAGCTGCTTAACAACTGTTAGTCATTTAAATGACTAGTTGGTCAATGGAAAATTATCTTATTAGGCAAACATTTTGATAACAGAATGATAATTTTTTGTATTCTTTTTCAGGCAAACATGCCAAACATCTGGCCCTGCTTTGTCCTGCATTATATTTAAAAACAAAAACAAACAAAAAAAACTCAATATCTTTTTATTTGTTTGTTTAGGAACAACATTTCTTGGACTGCAGGAAATTATGAAGGGAATTTTTCAATTTTATCTGACATTTTATTAAAACAATTAATTTAACTGAAGGTGGTTTGAAGAAAATAATCCACAAATCAGTGAATTGTAGCCTCGTGTACATTTAGACTCATTTGAGACTCTGATTCGCCAATAAAATTCATTTATATGTTGCATGATCTGTTCATATTTAAAGCGAATGTATGTAACTTTGCAGGACATCAACCACTGTGGCCACAAATGATTTTAATGGATGGTAATAAATGCATGTAGCAAGTACGGAAACAAAATAAATCCTGTGAACTGTCTCAGTGCCATATGAGCGACATCTACAGCAGTATGAAAACATCAGCCACCCTGAGCTACAGATCAGACCAACAAAGACTAAAGCAGAAGCAACAATGTAGGACTCCGTACATTGTATAACTTTAAGAATAAACTTCTAATCTGTAAGAGGAAGAATGTGTTATTGTGTCTTTCAGTAGTTATATTAGTATTTGTTGGCCACAAGTCTTTATAGATAGTAAACAAGTTTTTTTTTCAACATAAAGCTGATAAGTCTCAGTAACTCTGGGTGCTTCCATTGTGTGGGTGGGCTCATCATCATTTTATTGTTCAACTGTTTATGTTTTTTGCTGTTTAATGTGTTGAAATTTGTGTATTTGCAAAACCTGAGATTCGACTTTAAATGCTGCGGTATGCTGTTGATCCATGTGATGCACTTACATGAAAATGAACTATCATAATAAACAGCTAAATAAACACTCTGGGAGTTTTCTGTACTTTGTGGTGGATGCATGCGGCGGTGGCTAAGCTTCAGGAAATCATTGAAAATACATTTAAAGGGATTCATTGAGATTTTAAGGTTATAAAATAATAAAGTTAAGATCAGTGAAGACCTTAAATGCTCTTTTTCATGGGTGTTTCTGTATTTTCAGACATTCCTTCGATGTTTCCAGTCAATCAGTGGTTATCCTTGTTGAAATGTGGAAGATCACATTTCTGGCATGCGATTGTTTTATCACTAAAATGTCGGGCACTCCAAGGTGCAACATACCAGAGGACTGAAACATCTGGGAAATGATGCCAGGAGAGGCCGCGTAGGGGTGGGAGGAATGTGAAGGAGAGGATGAAGGCAGTGTGTGTGTGTGTGTGTGTGTGTGTGTGAGTGTGTGTTGCTGGATGGTTGACGTCAGAGCTGCGTCTGTGCATGCTCTGAAGAGCAGGACATCCTGTGGAATTGTTCCTGGCGAGGCCCGAAGAATGTAAAGCAGAAACCTCCCCCGTCTCGCTCATTCCAGTGAAACGCTGGAGTGGCAGACGTGAGGGCAAATGAGGCTCAGCAAGGACAGGATCACCATCAAAATATCACCGAGGCACTGAGTTGATCAAGTCTAATAAATGAACAAAGACTAGGGAGAAGTCAGTGTGGGATTCCTTTTGAATCCAAATGAACTTCATTGAGATTTGGGGTTTAAATGTGATTTTACAGTGCATACACGTAGCTGTAGTTTCAGGGTTGTCTCTCGTACTTCTGGTGCATTTATCGTTTCAGGCATGTTGGAGAAAGGCGCAGTGAGAGATGAAAACATAAACCACTGAAGCATCCATGCAAAGAAACACAGAACAGGAGAGTAAAGGGACCTCTCAAACACTGCAGAGGATGGTTATCCTAAGACAGAAAAGACACAATAAGACAAACACTACATGTCTGCATTTGGTGAGAGAGTGTGCGAGCAGAGGGAGTTCATATGGGAGAGCAGTGACGCAGGCTATAAAGCGGGGGTGTAGTGGGTGCAGCTATTTATAGCCGCCGTGAGGAGACACATATTAGCTGCGTTTCTCTGCCCTCCCCCGGCTTCCTACGTCACTTTACTCCAAACCCTCCGCTGTGCATCATGTGACAGGTGCAGCCTGAGTGCTGGACCAGAGGTAGGACATGAATACTAAACAGTCGGGGATGTGAAGGACTGGAAGAGTACAAAGAGTAGATGTTTTCTGTGAGCGTCTCCTCCCTCTGGCTGAATGATGAAACTGTACAGCATCCATAGATGCACAATGTGTTCAAAGGGTGTTTCCCTGCCATCAGCCCAGTGCATGCTGGGACAGGCTTTGGCACATACGTGACCTTGAAATGGAAAAATGAAGGATGAGAAAATTTAGGAATGGGAATCTTCTTTGACTGAATTGGCTGAATTTATCTTAAACCGAAAAACATAAGATAGAAAATAAGAATGAAATAGAATCCGAAGCTGTTATTTTTGGATTAAACACATGAATTGTACTTTATCTAACTTTTTAAAACACACTGAGGTAACTCTTTATTGTCATAACTTTGCAGTACTTTCTGGCAAATATTTCTTTTTTACTTATATAGCACAAATACTTTTTTTTGTTTGTTTGTTTTTTTCTGTGAGAGCTTTACAGTCTGTCCCACATTTGAATCCCTGTATCCTGAGAAAAATGCAAAATAAAGCTTTTACACACACATACTGTTAAAAACTGAACTTCAGGACTGAAGAAAAGCAGAATCCCATGACCAAAAGTTTTATTTTTTAAGATTTTCACGAAATCAAAACTCACGTTTCACAATATATGCAGTCAAATACATCTGTGATTACTATTTGTGCTTATGAAGAATCTAGTTTTAATTGAGCACTATCTGTAATTAATGCTGTTTTTAGGCCACATAGTTAGTATTTGGGTTTTTTGCATACATTGAAAGTATATCATCATCTTTGAATGTTTTTTTTTTGTCTTTTATTATGAAAAATACAAAAGTGGTTATTTTTACTTACACATACACGTGTTTTAGTTCTAGAACTGCAGACACTCGTGCAAAAATCAGGACAATGACACAGGAATGATAAATAGAAAACCATAGAGCAGTGTAATTATGTAACCAAATAAAAAACAAACAAACAAAAAACTAATAACAGATTGACTAGATAATTAATATACAATGCAATTAAGAAACATCTACAGTATTAGTATACTAACTGAGTGTACCATGAGTAACCAAGGAGGTCAAATAGAAACATTATGTATTCATGGTGTTTGCAGTCCCACTAATTACAACGCAGTGTGTACTTTGGCTGAGGAATAAAACAGACTTTCTGCTGTGATGACATTCTGTACAAAATGTTGTGCAGATTGCATCATTTATGAATGGTGAGTTGGGCACTAAACAGGGCGGAGCCGTGTCGAAGAGCTGCCCTCTGATTGGGCGATCCCGGCTCAATAGTCTTGTGGCCCTCGCTGATTGGCTGCGTGTGCTCGGTGGGCGGGGCCAGTCCTGACAGAGTCCGGGTGTTTTACGCTCGGAGGAGTAGAGCTGCGTCTGTCACAGTCAGAGACAGGAGCCCACACCGTCTGCTGTCCATTTGTCTACGTTTTAAAGGCACTAAGGAGGAATGAAGAGCCAGAACAACAACAAAAACACCGCAGCGTCTCGCCTCGCTTGACTCCAGCGACCACGATCTGATTTTAAACGGGATATTTCACTGTCAGTGTGCCTGAATGGAGCAGCAGCAGCAGCAGCAGCAGCGGCGGGGTCTCCGTGGCTTCACTAACTCTGCAGCCTGCGGAGCTGGAGGCTCCAGCGGTCAGCCCTCCATCCGTCTGTCCGTCACCTCGACCACCGGCAGCCCGGTGGAGCTCATTGTGCCCCGAGCAGAGACCGTGGAGGGTCTGAGGACACGAATCTCCCACAAACTCAGACTGCAAACACACAGGATCGCCCTCCTGCACAAAGACAGGTGAGCTGTCACGTTGCCCTGCATCCTGTGCACTCCACTTGAATCTCAGTGTGTAACATGTATGTGGTCTTTGTCGTACCAAGTGACTAGGAATTGACCCTTTTGTCCCACATTGATTATAAATCAGGCACCTGACTGCAGGGAAACTCCTGGAGCTGGGTGTAACAGATGGCAGCAAGCTGACCCTGGTCCCAGTTATTGAGGCTGGTTTAATGGTAGGTCAGAAATCTTTTACTGTACCTCCAACATATGATATGAAACATGTAGAGAACTGTTCTGTTACATCTTTTGTTGCCACAGTGCTCCACTGCCAGAGCCGAGAGGACTATGATGGACGTGCTGGAGAGCTTAACCGAAGTCCAGGTAAGAATTTTATTCAATGTCTTTGTCAGATGTAAGTCAGTAAAACTTGTTGGATGTATGAATGAGGTGAAGAATTCAGACTATGCAACGCTGTGGTTTTCTGATGCTGTTTTTTATTTTTTATTTTTTTTACACATACAGCAATAATAATGATGAGCTTTATTTCTATAGCACCTTTCAAAATATGAATTATAAGGTGCTTTACAAAAAAGAGCAACAAATAAACAATAAAAGAAGCCCAAAAAAGACAATAACACATTTTTCTATAAAGGACAACAACAAAACATAAGAAAAGACATAATAAAATATATACAAATGTCTGAATAGTCCGAAAAGACTGACTGAGCTGTTCTGACTGTAAACAGGAGCTTGTTTCACAGCATTGGGACTAAAACAATTTGTTCATGGTCCCTATTTGTTGTTGTTTTTTTTTTTTTAAAGTTCATGTTTTGCTGCCTTAAGAGAAACAGGTACACACACACAGTGTAGCATCATACCATCAGGTAAACCACAGTGTTGTAGCCCAAAGTTTATTCAGAGCTATAATCTTCTTTAATTCAATGTTAGACACCATTTATGGTTGGCTTTCAATAATCATGGTGCCTTAAAGTATTCATCACCCTTGCAAGTTTTCTTCTTTTATTGCTTTTTAACATTTATTAAGATTTATTTTGGATTATTGGACAAGAATTTAAAAAAAAAACACTTTCATGTCAAAGTGAAAACTGATTTGTACAAAGTTATGTAAATCAAATAAAAACATAAAAAGTAAAATGAGTATTTGCCCCCTTTTACAAATGATTCAACCAGTTCAAAAAAAGTGTAGTCAGTTGGTGCTAGAAGTCACACAATTAGTGAAATAATAATCATAAGAGTATAGTGAATGTGTGTCAAGTGATTGTAGTGTAAAGACATGTTTTTGGAAGGTCCACCTATGAATCAGTACTCCTGGCTACAACTACACAATTAGGACAAATGAACACTCCAAGCAACTCTGTGAAAATGTGACTGAAGAGAGCAAGTCAGGGGATGAATACAAGAAAGCTAACAAAATCACTGAATACTCATTGGAGTACAGTTAAATCCATCATTAAGAAATGTAAAGAATAAGGCACATGTTTAAATCTGCCCAGAGCAGAAAGTCCTGAAAAACTAAGTGACTCTACAAGAAAGAGACCAGTGGGGGAGGCCACCTATGACTCCTCTGAAGGAGTTACAAGCTTCATTGCCTGAGATAAGAGACACTGTGCAAACAACAACTGCTGCCAGTTCTTCACCAGTCAAAGCTTTATGGGTGAGTGGCAAAGAGAAAGCCACTGTTGTAAAAGATCTTGACTAGAGTTTGCCAGAAGGCTTGTGGGAGACTCTGAAGTCAATTGGAAGAGGATTTTTTTGATCTGATGAGACCAAAATTAAGCTTTTTGGCCATCAGAGGTATTGTATTTCAGTGTTTTCTTGCTGGCAGGGTACGCCATTCCAGCTACTCAAAGTGGGTAAACATCAGAAACTCACAGGAAACAATATCTGCATGTAATCTAATACTTCTATGATGAGTTTCTTCTTGATCAATACAAGATGCCTTTGTTTGGCTGCGCTGTAAACAGACACACCAGCTGCTCCTCTGTTACCCCCAGTAACCACGGGTGCCGCCAAAACAAACAACAGTGCAATCCAAAGTATCATAAAAATAAACTCGTGTCTTTCTTTCCCGTCTGATCTGCAGATCAATGACTTCTTGTCCGGGCGCTCGCCTCTGACCATCAACCTTGGAATCGGTGCCCACATGATGTACGTGCAGCTCCAGCTGTCTGCTCAGGACGTGAAGGAGCTGCAGCAGAACTTGGACTCAAAAGCTCGGAGCAGCAGCGAGCCTCAAACTGGCCTGCTGACGCCCTGCAGTGTGAACCACCCCGGCTCTGCCTCCACCGACACCACAGGATCCACTACCTCATCTGCTGCACAAACCCCCTCTACAGCCCAATTTAGCCCTCAGAGACAAAGGACTTCCTTTAACTCGGCAGCACCCGCCACCCACTCACCCACTTATGGCTACAGTCCCTCATCTCAGCTTCATTCCCAGTCTGCGCACACATCTCCACGTGGTCTCTCGGCCTCGTCTTTGCCCTCTGGTTGTCCACATCCCAGCTCTCCACTGGAAGCAACCACACCGGTCTGTTCAACTGGTCCCACCGGCTCCAGCCCGGGACCCCCGAGCCCAGCGCCGGGCTCGACCTTCACAGAGGTCAGCCGCACAGAATCCACTGCAGCAGTCAAAGCACAACACAATGAGTTGTCCTGATTTCAACACCATGTATTGACACAACTTACTTACTTATCTTCTTCCACTCGATCCTCATTGTGGATGTTAATTTCTTTCCGTACAGAGTAACACTGATGCCTCAGCCCCTGCAGAGATGTCAAAGCAGCCAGGGGCAGTCATAGAAAGTTTCGTGAGCCACTCTCCAGGCGTCTTCTCTGGGACTTTTTCTGGTAAGTCTTCAGCAGTGAAGATTATACGTGTGATTAAAACAGATCAATAGATTCTGTAGCTGAAGGTAATGGTGCTGTTTAGCATATTGAGACAGAACTAAGTGCACAGGGTTAAATCACAGCAGCTCGATTATGATGCACCACTAAGGATTTTAGTTTTCTAATTTAACCGCCTAATTACCTCAATAGATTAACTGTTTTATTTTTAAATGTCAGGAAATTGTGAAAAATGTTCATGAGGATTTCCAATAATTAAAATCTGATAATCAGTCCAAAACCCACAGTTACACGGAACACAATGTGACAAAGAAAATTGGAGAGTTGTTCCTCTGAAAAGCTAGAAGCAGTGTTTTTTAATCAATCAATCAGTTGACAAACAGTCCTCTGTCTCGCCTTTGCATCCGCTGTTATCCTCATTGTCCTCTACTGTCTCCGTCTCCCATCAGGCACCCTGGGACCCTGCAGTCAGAGCGGCATCAGTCATCCTCGTCGCGGCATTTCAATCATCCTCCAGATCCTCAATGACCTCCTCAGAGCTGCCTATCACCACCAGGGGGCTCCAACTGCTCCTCCTCCACGCCCCTGTCCTGCTTCGGACCCTCCAGCCAGCTCGCAGCCCACAGCAGAGGAGCCCGGCAGGGCCAGAATCAGACCACCGCTGACCCAGAGGACGGAACACCTCGACAGAGCTCCAGGTCAGCTCGAAGGAAGGTTATTTAGTAAACAGGGTGAATACTGCAGGAACAGTTCTGTGAGTTACAGGCTGTTTTTAGTACGCTGAATTAAAGCCTTTATCGTGCAAATACTGAATTCACACAACGGCAGGGAAATATGAACAAAGAGAGGGTTTCAAGCTACTGTTTAATCAAACACATTTTCTCCCAGAGTGGATTGAATGAGGCTGACTATACTTTCTGTGACGTGTTAGAAAGCCACATTTAGTCACACATCACTGGAGTGACTGTGGCCACTGCAGCAGGGAGTTTCTACATTAGTCTGTTCATTAGCCTGCATAGGTGAATGCATGGAGTCAACTTTTATCTTCTTGCTTCTGTCTCGTCATTAATCTGACACGTGTTTCCAGTGTTTTGATTTCTTGATCTCTCTGTGTTGATTTTTAAGTGACTCTTTGTATTGGTGGTGTTGTCTGTATTTCTATAAACTTGGTTACACTTGAAAGTATTGATTCATCAAACTGAAGGGTTATTTGATGGCTAGTTTGACAATAAGGGACCTACGATTTAAGGATTTGTTGCTTTTCTTTGTCACGCTTCACAGTAAGTTTAGATTTATTGAGCCGATTTTGAAATCTAGGTCAGACAAAAGCAGGCTCAGTTTGGGGGTCTAGGAAATTCAGATGGGCATGGCCCAGTTAAACCCACTGCAACTTAAGAAGGTGAGCTGGGCTTACTCCGTCACCGTGGCTGCTTCTCCACATTTATCCGACACTTTATAAACAAAAGAATGAACTGAAAAGTAACAGTTTTCTTTCTTCTTTTACTCGTCTACTAAAAAGAGAATTGTTTTTTTCTTCAAACATATGTTGCTTGTTGTAAAAGCAATAATTAATACATCATAAACCAAACACCCAGTATGAGCTTTAATTTTGTGCATCATGTCTAACTTTTCTTTTTTCTCTTTCCTGTAGGCAATGAGAGTCGACTGTTGAACTCATCCACAGAGGAGAATCAAACGATGCACTGTAAGCTCGAACACCTCCAGCTTTTGATGCATCAGAGGCGTCTCCGCAGACGGACTCGCAGGAGCTCACACCTCTCGCAGACCTCTCACCCGTATCAGCACCGTCTCCATCATCCCTAATCTTCTGGACAGAAAAGATCCACTCACTGTGATAGCGCCTGCGGCTCTCTGAGGGCGCCTCCACTGATGACCGTAAAACAAGTCTCACGAAAACCACGGCTGACCTCTGATCTTGTGATGTTGGTGAATCAACTGTGGAGCCGAGAAAGAGGGACAAGCTTTAATAATATTTTTACAGTGTGGGCATTTCATAAAAACATAAAGCCAAAGGATCTGAGGAGTGAGATCCCAGCAGCTGACTGTATATTTCTCATGATATTTAACCTGAGTCTGTCCCTCGGTGGCGGCGACTCTTCTTGTTGCAGTATGTAGCACATGTCACAAAAAGCTCTAATGTATATTTTCATCTTCTACATCTCAATGTTTTGTCAAAGAGGTCTTTCTGTATGTTATTTCTATGTATTCCAAAGCCTTAACTGTACATGTCTTGAATGTAAACATTGTGTTTTGTGTCGTTTTACATATGCAATATTAAAATGTAAACACAAGGCAGGAACAAATATGCAAGAAATAAAGGACAAAAAAATGAAAAGTCTGGAGATGTGAGTCAAGCTGCTTTCAGTCTCTTAATGCAGAGCATAACGCTGCTGCTGCTTTCATCTGTTAAAGTGAAGACTTCTTGTCATTGGCGCACAGACGTCTTAGATTTCTGTTCAGCTTCATCCAGGCGTGACAGAATATTTATGGAAAGAGGCACAGTGATTGTGTGACTTCTGGCACCTCGGAGAAGGTGAAAAGTAATGAAGTGATGACAGAAGGATGTCAGAGGCTGCAGGGTTTTGTTTTATTTTTAATTGTAAATGCATATTTGAGGTGCACTTGTTAAAAATAAGGTTTCAGTCTGATCATCTTAAATTTAACAGCATTTTTTTTCTTATTAATGATTACACGGGTACGAGTTGTTACTTTTGAGGTTTGTTTTCAATGAGCTGCTTCTGCCCGCCTCAATCATTTAAAATCCTTTACAGCTTTCAGATTTAACACTGAAAGACATTTTGAGTGGAACATCACACTTTGCATTTCTGTAACTCACAATGTAGATTTTTTTGTGTGTGTGTGTGTTTGTGTTTCCTAACATTGAAGTATTGTTTGTCCTTACTTTAAGTTTAAACCCAGGAAGCAGAACGTGAGCAGCAGAGACGTGCAGCCTGGACGCCCTCCACTCCCCTCATGACAGCAGCTGAACATTTCTGAGGCTGATGACTGTGGGTTTGTCCATTCAAACAGGCCCAGACAAACACACTTTCAAGCCAGCCTTCCAAATCGTAATGCCTGTCATTGTTGGAATTTGCATTATTACATGTGTGCTTTGTTCTTGTGAGGACTGGAACATCCAGTACGACCACATGGTCCTTTGTTGGTCACTGCCTGGTTACCCTGGGGCCTTGCGTGAACAGTGATAGGATCCCTTTGTTCTAAACTTAATGCAAGTTCAACCGTCTTTGATCTGATTTTTTTGGTAATTTCATTCATGTTAAACTTGATGTGTTGTTGTCTCCAACATTGCAACATGACAAGATACAAGCAAGTAATAAATTAAAGAAAAAAACAAGACCCTTGACCCTGCAGTGAGGAGATCCTGTAGCTCCCTTATGCTGATTGGGGCATTTTGCTGCAACGGTTTGGTGCCACTTGTCCCTTCAGAGGGAAGGGTCAATGCATGTCAAAACAAAGCCGTTCCCAGTGATCACCTTTATCCTGTGATGACACATTTCTATAGCGATGGGAGGAGTCTCTTCCAGGATCCATAATGCATGAGGATATGGTTAAAAGAATATGAAAATAATGTAAATCATACGTTACGACCTTCGTAATCACCAGATCTCAATCCAATTGAACACCTTTAGAAGGTTTTTGACCAAAATGTTAGACAGTGCTTTGCACCACCATCATCAGAAGACCATCAACAGGAATATTCTTCAGAAGAATGACGTTTATCCCTAAAGCAGAGGTCCAGAGATTTGAAGAATCACTGGTGGATTGAAGCTGTTCTGGTGGCATGTGGTGACCCAACGCTTCGCTAAGACACGTTTTTCTTTAAATTTGTCGCCTTTCTGGTCAAATTCAGCTGCAAATTTTGAGCCTCCCACAGTAGCACAGCAACTGGATGAGCTGAAACATAAAAACACACGATGCCTGTCTTCACTGTTGAGCAACAAAGTTAGAATCTCATCTCATTTTAGCTCGAACAGATGCACAAAACCTGCCATGGAAACGACAAGGCCTGCTCCTCCATTGATGGGTTTGTTAAATTATTCAGCTATGAAATGCTGAGCTACACAGCTCAGAAGTGCTACGTGAACGCTGGTGATATTTTAGGTGGAGCTCTGCTGATTGGGACGATCAAGTGTGCAGTTGCTGTTAGAGCAGCTGCAGCAGCAGGATGCCAAAGGCCAGAGATCTGACAGCACACGGCTCTTATAACTGAATCCTAAAGATGGCCTGTGCTGCAGATCCCCTGTTGGAGATGACATCATACTCAGGCTCACTGAGGTCAACATAATGCGATAAGAGCTGATAAATGTAGTGAATAATTTCTCCTGCTTTCCAGACTTGCCATTTCCTTTTGTTTTCAGCCTTCTTGCGAATGTAACAGACGGTGGCTTCATATTTAGTGTACAGATATGAGAGTGGTAGCAATCTTCTCATTTCACTCTCAGCAGGGAAGCGAAGAAGCATAATTACAAAAATGTTGATTAGTTCCTTTCACCGCATGTGGCAGTGCTAAAAGGACACTGCACACGATGTCTGGCTGGGCTTTGGGCCTCCTACATGGGTGCTCCTTCGTCTCTCTTTACCTCCTACACATGGCATTCAAACTCACTTCATTACTTAGAAGTGCATTTACAGACACGTCGACCTCCCACACAGCCAACACCGGACATTGGCCTAATTCAGGCCTCACACACTTGACCAGCTCTCATCATACTGACTCACGCAAACTGGTTTACACAAACAAAACACTCGAAACATGCAAAATAAACACTGTAGATTCATATTCCTGATCAATCCACGGGATGGACAATGGCTCTGGCTATATGATGCCTGTTCCTTCCTAAAATTAATTATACTTTGTAATTAGCGAGTGTTATTCATTTAGCTGCACTGAATTTATTATGTAGGAGGATGAAGGAACACATATTCGTTTGGTATTGATCTACACATGCAAATTAGGACATTGTGGCACTAAAGCTGTGTTTGAAGTAAAGCAGTCAATAGATATTCTCTATCGCCTATGAAGCTGCAGACACATCATCTTACCATTCAGTTGGTTTTACAATTTGTATTTAAAGATTATTATAATAAATTATATTTTTTAAACCTTTTTAACATGTCAGTATGGTGTTTTATATGTAGAGGGCTCCTCTCATACTGGGCAGGATTGGTATTGCAACAACACATCATCAGTAGGGTAACACTAACCTGTCTCACGATGGTCTAAACCCAGCTCACGTTCCATATTAGTAGGTGAACAATCCAACGCTTGGCAAATTCTGCTTCACAATGATAGGAAGAGCCGACATCAAAGGATCAAAAAGCAACTTCGCTGTGAACGCTTGGCCACCACAAGCCAGTTGTGGTAACTTTTCTGACACCTCCTGCTTAAAATCCCAAAAAGTCAGAAGGATTGTATATATAAAAGACACATAATGAACACACTCAGGTTCTAGTTACATATATGTAACATATATGGCTCAATAAGTGGTTTTACAGTGTTCCAACAGAGTTGTAGGTGAGCCGGTGTGCTCAAGCTGCAGTGAGTGAGGAGAAGTTGGGGGAGAAAAAGGCAAGGACTTCATAGATCTGCACAGCAACAGCTACATCTAAGCCATTTTAAAACAGGATGGGATTATTTTCAAGGAAACAAATCTAAATATGTTATTTTAACGGACCGATTAGATTTTAGAGGTTTAATCACAAAGCATTTCACTGCGCATTATACCATGTATCACTGTGTTTGTGACCAATAAAGGCCTTGAATCCTTGAATCAGTGACTGGAGAAGGACTTTAAGACATGAAACTTCTCAGACATGCTTTTTAAAATTTTTATTTCAGCTTGTTTGTAAGTTAGTAGTCATCTGCAAGTGTGATTTGGAAATGTGAAGCTTCCGGCCCATATATACTGAGAGACACTGAAGTAGGAAACATCCTGTGTGCATCTTGTCTATTATTCAGATCATTTGTCAGTTGATTTTTAAGGGAGTAAGTGTTGTTTGAAGAATTTTCAAAAAGGTACTGCAGAAACAGTATAATCGAGTGTAGAACCATTAAGCCCCTTTGAGCCGTGTGTTTACATACATTTAACATGCACATGAAAATATATAATCACATAAGTTAAATTTAATGATGGCAAATACTCTGAAAGTCTATGTGTTAACTTTATGAGACAGCTTTGATAAGATGTGGTGCAAGGCCAAACTGTTGATGACACAAGACAGGCTGACCAGAGATTGTACGAGGTTTTGATGTAAACGTGACATGCTGCTGCTAAACTAGAGAGAAAAGCCTGACAGTTATAACACATTGGTGGGAAGGATAAATAATTTATTAAACTTAACTCATTCTGTGAAAATGTTTAGTTGCTCTGGAGACCGGTTTTGTTTGCTTGTGCTATAATAATAAACCTATAAGTGCACCGAAGATCATTCCTCTTAAGTAAGTAGAATAATTCAGAAAAAAAATATCCACCATTGCATTTTTTGTTGTTGTTATAAAGCCTCATCAGAAACACGATAATATTAAAATGAGAGCGTTTTATGAGTCACAAAACATACCTCGAGGTTTAGGGACTTAATCTTAAAGTCATGCTGTTGCACCACCGCGGCCGGTAGGTGGCGGTGTGGGCCAGCCGGGTCGCTGTGTGAGCGGACAGACAGCCGCAGAAGAAGCGGACAGTGCGCAGCGCGCTGAAAAGCGGATCGCTCCTTCACTCCTCCCTCATTCGACCTGCAGCTCTGTGCACCAGCCACTTGTGATCAGTCGGGGAGAAGGTAAATTATCGATTTTATTGTTCTGTCCTTTCACAATGTGTTTTGTTTTCGAAGTAATGCATTTCTAAACTGCAACTGCATTTGAAGCGTGTAATTATCATGTCTACTCTCGAACTGTTTTTGAGCATTTATCGTAAAACTGTAACTAGATTCATTGGCGGCATAAACCACAGCACGAGGCCGAGCCAAAAAAAAAAAAAAAAAAGGTTTACATTTTTGTCGCTTTTCTTGAAATACGATGTGTAATACAGTTGAATGTTTTATTCACCCAGTTTTGTTCGTTAACTGGAATACTTATGTAACACCGAAAAACATGGCATGTTGCTGCGCCTCCGGCTAATTTCTATGTCGCTCGCTGAAACAAAAGTGAGGGCAGCAGCTCGGTGCTACAAAATGGCGCTGAGAGAAAAAAGAGCTAGCGAGCTAATCCGCTATGTGAACGACACCACGTTTACGGGCCCGAGGCCTAGTCCGACCACCGTCTACTATCGGTGTTACTATTAATAGTATCACCAAAAAGCATCTTCATTGTTTGCTGCAGTCATGTTTTAATGCACAGTATAAGATTGTGAAGATGATATCAGCTAAATAACCGTGTTATGGTGATTTCATGCCGGTGGTCAGTTGACCTACTTTCGCGCTAAACGTGGTCTTAAAAGCGAGGCCGCAGTTTTATGGCCTTACGTAAACGTTCATGTTGGCTTGATAGGATTTGTGTTTTGTTGTTTTCTAGCTACTCTTAAGATGTCGGACGAAGGTAAATTGTTCATCGGAGGTCTGAGCTTTGAGACCAACGAGGAGTCTTTGGCGGCGGCCTTCGGAAAATACGGAACCATCGAAAAAGGTAAAAACACTCGAAGCCTCGCGCTGCTCAGTTCGTCTTTAAAAAAAAAAAAAACTACAAAAAATAGAATGATTTCGAGTGAATGGCACGTGATTAAATTCTGTTTTCCCTCCATTAGTGGACGTCATCAGAGACAAAGAGACGGGAAGATCTCGCGGCTTCGGCTTTGTGAAATACGATAATGCAGAGGATGCGAAAGATGCACTGGAGGCCATGAACGGCAAGGTAAATGCACTACTATAGATACTTCGATACTGCCGGATTTCATTTATTTTATTTTTTCCACCGATATGTGCATTATTTTAGTTTTTTAAATTTTGCCCTTCCTCGTCTTTGTGCGGCAGACTCTGGACGGTCGGGCCATCCGGGTGGATGAAGCAGGAAAGGGCGGACGCTCCAGGGGAGGAGGATCATTCGGGCAGCCACGCGGTGGAAGATTCGGCGGTTCCAGAGGGAGAGGTGGTCGCGGTTACTCCTCCAGAGGTGAGCATAGGCTCCCTCTAAGTATTTATGCAATTCTGCCAATTTCGTGATATTGTTCAGGCACTTACTTGGATCTCTGCTTTGTTCTGTGCAGGTGGCTACAATGGCTCAGACAGGGGCTATCAAGACAGAAACTATGACAGAAGCTTCGGAAGAGAAGGGGGCTTCAATAATTACAGGAGTGGTGGATACCAGTCAGGTGGCGGCGGCGGCGGGTACAGAGACAGTAGGTGAGTATCTGCAAGTTTGGTTTTGTAGTTTCTTGTTAGATGGAGGTAATGCAGTGCTATAGTAAGAATATTGTTTGTCAAATTGCTAGGGGTCAGGGCGGATACAACGACCGTCCAAGCTACCGCGATGGATACGACGCCTATGGTGGTAAGCATCAATGATATGCATTTTCACAATATATGTAGGCCTATGTTGGGGCTGTGTTTTTTTTTCCTTTTCCCCCTCCAACATCTAAAATGACACATGCTAAAAGTGCATTAGACACTGATAATAGTGTTAAGATATACCTTACATTGTTACATTCCATAAGTTATTAAATATGTACTTCAGGCATATTGTTGGTGGCAGGCTGGGGTTTCTTTACACATCATCACACTAGGAGTCTTTTAAATGATGGAATTCAGACTATTTTACAGCCCCAACATATGAACACTTGTACCATGTATGCCCCTCTGTTTTGTACCTGAGCCCAAGTTGATGCCTCTTTATATACGGTTGCCAAATTTTTCTAGCCCACGTCCCACTCTTATAAAGAGCCATTTGAAACACTTTAACAAATGCTGAATGTTACCTATTCTAATATTGCTCATATCTCAGCTGATGGAGCCCCTTTTGCAAAAACTGAGGGAGGGTTTTTAGACTGTGGTGGGTTGAGGGGGGTGTTGTGAAACTCCAGTGTTGGAACTTTCAGTGTCTTTACCTCTGTGCCCACTTCTTATCCTCAGCCTCACAAGAGTAAACATCTCCCTGATTCAAGATCATCACTTGGCTGGCTGTATTTCAAAGATGCGCTCCTCAAGAAAAATGTCCACGTGTTCTTGCTGACCTTAGTTTTGTAGTTCTGTTGTAGTAGTTCAGCATCTTAAAAAAAAAAAAAAGAAAAAATAATGTAGCCATGAGTTTTGGTCATTCCTTAACAATCCATGTTGCAAATTACAGGTCAAGAATCTTACCTTGCTTGATCGGGCATCTTAATTCCTCAAAAAAATCGTTTAACTAAAAGGCATCTGTGTAATCTGACTAGTACTGAAGTCCCAATTTGGGGTCAAACAACAGCTCTCCACATGGCTTTTCGTTGAACAGCCACTACCACCGCTGTAGACTTTTTTTTCTTTTCTTTCTTTTTTTTTTTGTCCAGCATGTTAGTGTTTCCTGATTTGATTCCTTTTTCTCCCTTTTTTTTGTTGTTTTATATTGAAGTATCTGATGGGGCTTGTTTTGTGTTTTTGTTACCTTATTTTCCCTCTCAGTCTTTGTGACTGAACTACCTCCTGCCAGGTTTTAAACTGAGTGAGGAAAGAGATCCATTTACTCTTAAACAGACTTTTTTGGGGGATTTTATGCTAAATTCCTTTTTACTATTAAAATTAAAACCCTTAGTTTAGCTGAGGCTCCTGTATGTTCAATTTCCCAAAAGAGTGAATTCCTTTCAGACTGGTGAACTACACATCCGAAGTGGCCGGCTGTTCATGAAGTTGCAAATTGCAGCATGCTACAGTCTGTCCAAGGTATCTTCTGTGCTCTGCTCAACATCTGCATTTTAAATGTGCTGTAAAATGGACTAATCTTGTTTAAAGTGATCGAAAAATGTAACTTCGTTTCCCCAAAGTAATATCTCAACCGGGAACAGTTTTGTACTTTATGTTCTTTGTATGATCAACATTTTTTTTTCTTTGTCAGTTTGGCTTCATGGAGCCCATTAAACAGACTGTGGAAAATAATCTTGATTCCTTTTGCCTTTCAAAATGACCGCATGGGGGAATTTAGCTGAGGGCTGATATGTTAATGTAATGCTGCGTGAAATATCACCTGCTCAAAGCACTGAAATTAAACATGGATATCTCTGAAGGGCAATTGTAAATTGGCGGTTTAGTCTTAAGTAATCTTGGTAAGATGGAGGGGAAAGCTGTAACTGGGTGTATCTTTAAAGTTTACATTTGACAAGTTGCCTGTTTTGGTCTAAGATTTCAAAACTTGGATATTCGGCTCAGCGAATCCCATATTAAAATTTTAAAACCATCCATTAACCGAATGATTTGCCAACTTCAGTGTATTGAGATCAAACCTCTAGTGAGGTTTGGATAAGCCCCAAAAGTGGCACATGGAAATGCTGGGAAAACATCAGCTGGTGTCTGGTCATGTTAATGCTTCATTACGTTCAAGAGGTCAGCTACTTCAAAAACCTACAAGTCCTTGGAGAGTGAAGTGTTGCGCCTACCAACAAGTGCTCATCAGAGAGGAAAGCTGCTCTCTTGCCTAGGTCATATGTGGAGAAAGTAGGCCAATGCACGTGAGGTAAAAATCTCCTTTTGCTTTGCTCACATCCTTCAAACTCAGTTCTCATTGTTTCCATGAATACCTTCAAGTTAGTCGCTGTGTTTAGTCCTCTGCTTCAGATGTCGCCTACAAACATGCCAAGGCCTCTTCCCCAATTCTGATTCTTAAAAGTCCATTAAGGGGGGAAAAAGTTTCTGTGAAGCTCCTCTGGATTGTAGTGCTCCACACCCCGAGTCCACCAAAACAAGCATTGGCCTCTTAAAGTCACGGGTAGCATTGTGCTCAGTCCACTTGTGTTCACTGCTTAGTCTTCAAATTTGCTCCAGTAATGTCCCACAGCAGTCCTAATTGATGTGTAAGGTGTCTAGACTGCATTCAGTTTCTTTTGTTTTTTTTTTGTTTTTTTTGTACCTTTACATATGAACAAGTGGTGAGTTTCAGACTCATTTATAGTGTTGCATGCTGTTAATTGTGATTTGCTGAGAGAAACATGAGTTGCCAGGCTTAATCCATCTCTCTATCTTTTTCTTTAGAGTGAGCTGACGGTTGGGAGCTTCACTTGAAGTCCTTGCAACTGAAGTAGCTGGCATGAGATGGCAGTGACTAATGCAGATGCTGTATCACGTAAGTCCTCGACATGTTCATTTGAAACAGTTCAGCTCTTGTTTTTCTTGAGTCCAAATTGACCCGATTGCAATCTTCTGTTTCAGGTCCAACATGCAGCAGCTGTTTGCAGTATCTACATGAAGGAACCTGCCAACCAAAAGCCGAAGGCCTTTGTGAGACGTTTGCTTGCCTGAGAAAGACGTTTTCCAAATGTTACGGTGGCTTTGCAAAGTCCTTGATATCCAGCTTAAGTGGCAAAAATATCACCCAGATGGGATGACAGGACTGTAAACATTCACCGTCTGATCTGTTCTGATCATCGTCACGTGACTTCCAGAAGTCACTCAACTACGGTCTTGCACTTCTGTATTGCAACTTCAAAAATAAAATTCTGAATGCACTGAGAATCAAACTGCTTCTTCCCCCCCCCGTCCCCTTACCGCTGTTGTCAACTGATTGATTAGATTTCAGATATATTAATCACTGTATAGATGTTGATGGACTAAAACAGGGCACCATACAACTCAAAACCTGATGTTAAATCTCATTTCAGTAGCACACTGACCTGATTGAACATGAGCTGCCCTCACTCATTAAAATAGAATATGCTTAACGTATAGCGGGTTGCACCATCAGTTTACCACAGAGACAGAGTATTAATTAAGGTTCATCTTTGTAATCAGATGTTGGCAGTAGCTGGTGTGGTTAAGTGAAAAGAACTTGAGGAAATGGATGTAAGGAGGCCCTGTTGCTGTCTCATACAGAGTGTTCAGGCTGAGAGTCGGCGCTTCTGCTCACTTGTCCCACAAAAGCGTCAACCTGAACCCTCCTCCAACTAAATGGGAGTTTAGGCCCAAACACTGAGTTAGAGGTAAAACTCCACTACAGCTGGAAGTGTGTTACTACAAATACTAACAGAATGTCTGGCCATGATGATAGAACATGGAACTGCTTCTGGTTTCATAACTGAGAGAGACAACATTAAAACTAATGTGCAAAATAGTTTGACCTTAAAATAATTATACGTCCTTAAAAGTGGAAGTATGGCACTTTATGTTGTTGTGTGAATGGACCCTATCATCCATCCATCATCTATACACCGCTTAATCCTCACTAGGGTCACAGGGGGGGCTGGAGTCTATCCCAGCTGACTCAGGGTGAAGGCAGGGGACACCCTGGACAGGTCACCAGTCTATCACAGGGCTACACTTAGAGACAGACAACCAAGCACACTCACATTCACACCTATGGACAATTTAGAATCACCAATTAACCTCAACATGTTTTTGGACTGTGGGAGGAAGCCAGAGAACCCGGAGAGAACCCACGCTGCACGGGGAGAACATGCAGACTCCACGCAGAACAAACAACCTTCTTGCTGCGAGGCAACAGTGCTAACCACTGACCACCTTGCAGCCTCTGGACCCTGTCAATGTAATATACAATCATTGTGAAGGACTTTCTGCTTCTGCTGGAAATAAGTCAACTTAACAAACCATGTCTTATGTCTTAGTACAAAATCAGCTGTCAGAGGAGTGTCACACACAGGTCACTTCAGCAGTGATGAGTCCTGCGTGGTTCTGTACACCCTGTTGGAAGTGTTGAGTTTCAGAAATGGGGTGACAAATGGGGTGTTGTTCATTTGTATTGTTACTGTGTTTGAATCCAGCTTTTACCATAAATGCTGTGTTCTGTTTATTGACTTTGGTCTGGGGCTGCATGGTGGCACAGTGGTTAGCACTGTTGCCTCCCAGCAAGAAGGTCGCGGGTTCGCATCCCAGTGAGAACCCCCCTGGATCTTTCTGTGTGGAGCCTGCATGTTCTCCCCGTGCAGCGTGGGTTCTCACCTGGTTCTGCGGCTTCCTCCCACAGTTCAAGAATATGTTGAGGTTAATTGGTGATTCTAAATTGTCTGTAGGTGTGAATGTGAGTGTGCTTGGTTGTCTGTCTCCAAGTGTAGCCCTGTGATAGACTGGTGTCCCCCCCTGCCCCCCAAGACCCTGATGATGATTTAGCTGAGTATAGATCATGGATGGAGTTTGGTTTGCATGACGTCTATCTGCTTCAACCTGCTGGTAATGATTTTCATCAAAAATATTTATTCCAGTGCAATCAATACATAACTATTTAAACACTACAGCTGACTGAGGTGGAGCCTATTTAGTGTCATTCATTTCAAGCACCATAAAAAGTCCTTTTAACTGCATGCAATGTACTAGAGGAGCAAGTACAATGTTTGTAGTGGTGTAAAAGATTAGGGAAGCGTAAAATGTAAAAATTCATGTGAAATATTAACTGAACTCAAATAAAGTAAATAAAAATAACACACAACTCAGGATGAGGTACAGAAAAAAAAGATACTTTAATATTGAACATTGACAAGCTGGACTTAGCGGCAGCTGTAGAGGGTGTTTGAGCTCAGGACGCTGTTCCTCGAGGCCGTGCTCACACGTACATCCAGAAGTCAAAATGCCTGGCGACGTGGTGTTTGCGGGGCTTAAGGTTGAGCAGTTCCGTTCGCACAGGAGACACCCAGCGGTCTGTGTTGTAGACGCTCTCACCGACCTGCAGCAGGTTAAAGTGACACCGTTTGCATCAGTACGGACACAACTTGGGTTACTACTCCTCAAAGTAGTCAATGTATTGTTACTATTTCAAACTGAGAGGCAATAAGAGTTGTTTGTACAATAATTCCAAGAAGTAAATCATTTCAATATAATAGAACTTTTGATATTTTTAACTTCAGCTGAATCCTGTTTTTCAGTTTATTTTGCAGCAGTCATTAGGAAAAGAAAATGAATGGATGCAATGCAGTGTGTGCTATGCCAATAAAGCTGACCGTTATTAATTACAAGACATCGGTCAACGTAATGCGTCACAATCAGTGGGTTTTTGATGATGATGATGATACATGTAGAATTATGGATACACAGTGACAGATCAATATCAGCAGATTCTGGCTTTAAAATTAAATCAACATTTACATTTATTTACTTGTTTCGCAACCTGTGAACCATAGTTGGTCAAATTAATTAATTAATCTTGATTGCGTTCTTTAATTTGATTTCGATAGTTTTCACCTTTATTAGACATGATATAGAACATGGCAGACTTGACATATGACTGAATATGGCAGTTTCTCTGTCTGCCTTTGCCACTGGGCCATCGCGATAAAGCAATCTGAATAATATCCTAATTCCAATACACGATAGATTTTGTCTTCTATGCAACTGAGTGGAATGTAGAGGTGCCTATATCGGTACCGGCATCAGAATCAGCCAAAATGAGCAGGAAAGTATCTGCCTATCATGCAGAAATCCACCATCATACATCATTATGTATAAAACATGTGCTAACCTTTATAATCGTGCTTAACATTATTTCAGTTCCACACAAAAATTGCTTTTTTAACAAAAGCTAAAGAACAAGATGCAAGAAATGGTTAATAACAAAGTTCAATGTACTGGTGTTGATCCTGACCGTTGGGGTTGATTCATTATGTGCTGGGTTACCAAAAATGGAAAACAGAAATGCTTTTAGTCAATTTGGTGCCCACTTAGGAAAAGCTTAGGTGTTGCTTACAAATAATTTAGACTATTCTAACATGAAAATGGCCGATCATCAAAAACAAGACTACTACAGGAATATATTCTTTTTACATAAAGACTAAAAAAACAAACAGAGCAGCAGTTCTGACTTCTTTACCTTCCAGCCTGGGACGTCCTTCATGATGATCGCCTCCTCCTCTAAGTTTTCTCTCAGTGACCGCAAGATTCTGGCAAAAAAACAGAAAGTCCAGCTGATTCACAAATTGCTGATCTATGCCAATAATATCAAATATAAAAAAAATAAGCACAGGATGTGTGAGAGAAAGTTTTGTATTGTCACCTTCGGTCATATTCTGCCTGCATAAGAGGCATCAGAGCGATCCTGGCCTCCAGCTCCTCAAGCAGCAAACGCCTGAGACACAAAAACACCAGGTTTAGCTTGACTATGAACATTATGTACAATTTGATTGTAAGAAAAACCCAAATTACAAATGCATGAACTTTTCTTACCTCCTCTCTCTGTTCCATTTAAATAGCTTATAGTAACCAAACAGCATGACGCCGATGGTGATGCCAAACATAGAGTATCCTGTTGATGAAAGAGTTCATTCTAGTATTAGATCATCGCTGGATTTTACTGCACACCATGTAGAGGGGGGGGGTTTGAATCACATTCCCACGACAGTCTCAGTATGTTTTTAGCGTCATAACGGACTGACAGAGACATTACTGATGTCACTATGATCATCACGTTTGTTTAGATATGTATCAAAGTCTTAATCTAAAGTGACAATGAATAGCTAAGTACCTTTGTTTTCACTCTGATACTACCAAAGGAAACTAATCTTCAGTACAGAGATGCTTTTAAATCGATGTCTTGTGCTGCTGGAGAACATCCAGATGCTGGCTCCTGATCATACCTGCAGCAGCTCAGTCATGAACGTATATGCAAATTAGTTTGTTTTCACTGCCAGAACCTGCTGATCCAGTTTGAGTCCAACTGTCAGGAACTAATAATCTTACATAAGAAAAATGTATTATGCTATAGTATTTGTTATTCCAGCAAGTAAAAGGCATGACAATCTATAAAAGTTAACTAACTGCATTAAGCTAACCTCATCACATTTTCCAGTTTCCTGGAATTGACACAGCATTCCAAATTTGATGCATCGAAAACTTGTTTGCTACCTATTATGGCACATAAATATCACATTACCTAAACCTCAAATACAGTTTCTAGCAGAACTAAACTAGGTTGTAAATATTGCTGTATTTATTGTAAAGAGTGTGAAAATTATGTATCGTCAGCCAAAAGTCAAAAGGAATGAAACCAAGGTTTTACTACCCATGTGTCTGCCTCCAAACACTGATTCTGTTTTTCCTACACTTGACTCTTTCTGTAGTTCCTGCTCTCTGCCGTTGTAAGGCAGTGTTGACATTAGTTTAAGCTTCGGCAACTTGTCATGCACACTTTTAAATCATTTTTAAACTGTTCAAGGAAATGATGATTTGACACAAGGAGCAGTTTTTGCCAACACCTTTTTTGGGTTTTTTGAAAATCTTTGACACTGGTTGGACTGATTTTTATTGCTTAGTTGACACTAATTGCATGTTTATTTCTTTCTTTCATCCCTGTGTTGTGTAATAATTCCCCACCAAAATACATTTTAATTTCAGCTTACTGGATGTATAATTGCTGCAGTCATTGTTGTATGTGGGTGACAGAATGAACTTCTACAGTATCCCAGGCTCAAAAACTGTGTTTTTTTTTTTAACAGTAACAGCTGCAACTGCGAGTCTTGCACCGTGCTGTGACCTAATTTTATCTGAGCAAATTTCAGCCGTATTTCTATTGTGAAGATTTTTATCACGGACACATGCTGTTTGTTTTAACAAATTATAGAAATCACTAACAATAGTAGCTGTGTACACTTCTTAATTATGTACAGCTGAAACCACTGTCCAGATGTCTGTACAGAACTACCAACACACTTTGTCAATACCTGGTAGAGCCTGACTGACCTTTCAGTCAGCTGATATTGACCAGTCACAGATATACTGGTATCGACTTATATATTGTCTGATATGTAATTATATTAAATCCTATTTTTTTTAAATCACATTTAGAAAAAGACACTTTTGGTAGAACGACTCAGACTCTATTGTTTTCAATACTCTGGGTGCTGTGGGCAGCACATGTAGCTGAGCAGATGGTGGTGCGGAGTCAAGTCCTGTCTTCATAGCAAGTTTATAAACAATGAACTCATCATTTCTTTCAATGAAACATACACTATGTATATCTATATTAATAGAGTAATGACTAATACATCCATAGCATTAGGTTTTACTCCCTAAACATCACCATTGTCCCCACAAATCCAACAGCACTTTAACATTTGGTCAACTCTTTGCTATTTTATTTTTATTTTTTTTTTATCAATTTATCTCTAGTAGCACAGAATAGACAAGGTCACAGAATGTCACATGGGTTTCGTGCAGGTAAATGTTATTCATTGTTCTTAATATTTTAACACCCAACCAGAGTGATGTAGAAGAAATATATGAACCTGACATAAACCGTCAGCTAGTTAGCAATTGGCTATCACCAGTGTCAATTGACAACTTGCACCATAATGTTGTTTAGCCACTAAATAACATCTTCCATTATTTAGTAAAGGGTGACAAGTATTACTCCTCTAATTGACAAGCATAAATGCCCGAGTGCTAAACGACAACAGTCTTTTAATTTCAGCTTCTGTCTATTATTGACCGTTAGCATTAGCCGCTGATTCGTAGGTAGCAAATGTCACACAAAACTGTCCGCACTGATGAACAGACTATGACTCTGTTTATCTAGCTAGGTGAGTATGTAGTGCATGTACCCGAAAGTCCTCGCTTCGGTATATTTCTCCTATAATCGAAGGCAGCATAGCCTCCCGGAGGAGGCATGTCCTGCTTCACCTTGGACCCCGCCATCTTCCTTCCACTTCTCCTCAACACCGCCGCTGACGTCACTGAAGCGTCTCTTCTTCTCTTACGCCAGAAAGGTGCAGCGGCGCTACACCGCCACCACGTGTCCGGAAGAAGTTCATGCTTTTTATGGCACGGAGAATTGATTTCTAAAAAAAAAAACCAAAACATCCAACTAAAATGGATATTTAGGATACAATGTAGTCAGTATTTTAGTTTTTTTTTTAGTTTTGCTAATAATACATCCGGTGTTATACTAAAAAGTTCTAATTTACTTGAGTAATTTCTATCTGATTTAATTTTAGTCTCAATATTATTCTATCGCTTTTTAAAATGATTCACAACAGTTTCACAAACATGCAAAGCATTATTGTGACAGACCACCTCAGTGTCTGACGTCTGAGCGGTGGTGGTAGAAGTACTAAGATCCTTTTCCAAAGTAGCAGCACCACATTGCAAAAACACTAGGTACCTTCCTGGTAAACACCGTGCATCTAAGATCCTGTACTTTCAGAAAAAGTACAAACATAATTAACTGAAATAAAGGCAGAATGTGCTGTTAAATATTACACCATAGAATTATGAGTCATGCATAAACACATCAGCAGCATTTTAATGTTGTCAAGGTAGTTGGATAGACTTGGTTTAAACTGCAACGGGTAAAATCCTGATTTATAAAGTAACTGGCAACTATATTTGTAGTCTGAAGTAAAAGTATAATTAAGTGAAGCATATGAGTGAAGGTTCAGCGGCCTGTGGGACTGTAAGAAGCCTGATAGAAGTTGTTCAGTGTTGTAATTTTTCTGTTTCTATCTTATTTAACAACTGCCAGTTTGTACCCGGGTCAGCCGTGATGCTTCATTTTTGCTCATTAAAATCTTCTTTATCCTCTTGTCATTACTTGCTTGCTCCTCTTTGACCTCAGACCTCACACAGGATGATTCTCCGGCTTTGGAGGGACACTCTGAACTCTTTGAGAACCTCTCTGACATTTCTTCACTGGTTCAAGTTCGTCACAGTGCAACTAAAGACAGTGTATGGATGCAGCACTGATCGTAAGAGACCTGATGTATCAACCTTATTGTATGAGAAAGTAATTCAAATGTGAGTTTAGATTCTAGATGTCATCCTGTCATATTAGCCCAAAACAACAAATGAAAGCAGCAGTGTAAAATTTATATTTTTTATTATTTCTTTAGGAGCTAGGAAAAAAAGTAAACCAAATAAATTTTAACATAAGTTTGTACAATGCAATTAAGATTACTGGAAAGCAGAGAAATTATGCAATGTGGTGAGGGGTACAAGTTAAAGATGGTCTTGTGTAATCCAGAGTCTTGGTGGCTGGGAGACGTTTCCTTTAAGAACGGACTCATGACTACGTATTGTGTATCCAGCGGATTAAGGATGAACATCGGAGGCTCTAGTGAGGCGAATTCAGCTCCTTCAGAGTTTGCATTTTCTCAGTGATGACGTAACACTCAAAATAATCTTACGATGTTGACAATATTACAAAATAAGCAAATTACAGATGGTAATTACAGATGAATTAAGCAAAGACACCACGCTTCTTCAGCTAAGGTGCAAAATGGGCTTAAGGATAGGCATGCTGTTAAACAGGAAGAAAAAAAAAAAAGAAGCTAGAATAAACTCTTCATTTGTGGAAACCACAATATACAGAGCGATTTTTAACATCAAAAATAACAAAAACAAAAAGAAAACAAACAAATAACTTACTGTAAATACAAAATAAATTCAAACCTTTAACTACACGGGTGATGCACTGAAAATTTTACAACTTGGTTATTTTGTTTTTACTTGAAATAAATGTAGATTTCGTTGAATGGGAGCTCTTGGGTATGATTAAAACCATTCAAGTGTCAAAAAGGTTGGGTTCAGTTGACCCACATCATGATAGAAAGGGCTAGTAAGCCTAAAAGAGTACTCGTTTTTATTAAGGTACTCACAGCAACATAACCTCTTATCACACATTAACTGACCAGTCTGGAGGACAGAGCCCAGAGGAAGCCCTTCAAGTATTTGTTTTTTTCTTTGCCCCAGTCAAATCAAAAATGGTTTATGCACAATTATCAAAGAACAGCGAAACCTCAAAATAAACAACAGAAGATAAGAAAACTGAAACAAGAATCATACAAAGGTAATTAAGGAACGTTTCTTCACTTTGAGAGATTGTAATTGCTTAACAGTCCTGCGGGGGTGCTGTGGACCATATTATTGGAGCTGAAAAAATTGGACAAAAAAAAAAAAAAAAAAAATAATCATGAATAGCAGAGTACTGTTTCAATTATTTCCACGTGTTTGCAGTCTGCGAGATCGACGAACGAGAGGGGATCATGTCCAGCAGGTACTCCCTCTGACGAGCGTCCACGGTGGCTGACGTCTTGTGACCGGTCAGGCTGGGGTTCACGTAGGCCATAGTCACGCCTGCGAACATGCAACAGAGCGGCAGGTCAGGGTGTGGAGCAAGCTGCATGTAGTGGATGCTTTTTGATTTGAATAAGAAAGAAAAAAAATAAAAAAGCTGAATGATTTTGTATAACACCTGAATAGAAAGCTACCCATGTCGCCATGACACACAGACAGACACAAAAGGAAAAAACGACAGAGTTTCTACTCTAAGGTAGTGTACAGTAGTGACACCCAGGGAAAATATGAAACCACCAAAACGACGGACTAAAGTAGGAAAATGGAGTTCATTTCCAGGAGGGAAGCTGGAGAGTGGGATTGCCTTGTCCGAAAACATTTCCTCCTCCATGTTTAATGTTTTGTTTTTACTCTAATGTGTGAGATTGTACCGATTGCACATTTTTAAAGAAAAGATTCTTCAACACTAGAACAGGATTTGGGATTTGGGATGTTCAAGGATTGCTTTTGGACCAGACAGGAATTTGAAAGAGAGCAGATGTCAGGCGCCAGAGTTGGGCTGGTATTTATGTGAGTCTACCTGTGTTGCTGTTGCTCTGCTTCTTCCATGCAGTGGATGATGCACTACCTCCGCTGATATTCCTGCCGCCGACGATCCCACTGCTGCTCACCTTTGAACTCTGGACAGAGCGGTGGGAAACATGGGCATGCTTACCTGGCCGGCTGACCAAGGCTGCGGCCGCCACTGCACTCTGCAGCTGGGAGGAGGAGGAGAAGGAGTGGGGGACGCCTCTCACCCCCATTGATGAGACACCATGTGACAGGTGGCCCTGCGAGCTCTGAGGGGAGTTAACAGACACAAAGATGCTGCTTGAGTTATTGTGGCAGGGACCCCACGGGCATTTCTCCCAAAAGGACAGAGTGTTTTCCAACCTGCTTGATGGAGTGATGATGAAGAATGTTGGCTCCTCGGCTGGCCTGGTGGTGGTGCTGGAGGGACGACACTCTAGCCTGAGCCTGCTTCAGCTGCTGAGACACCAGCTGCTCTGCCTTCATCGAGGCAGATGAAGAGGATGACGAGGTACTGTGGGAGACTGCTGAGGATGTCTGCTGAATAATACGCTGCTCTATTTCTTGCTCTTGTTGCAGTGCTTTGACAAATGCAGCTTTCAGCCTATTGGTATGCTCGGCTTTCAAAGCCTTTTTCTGATTGGAGGACATGCAGTCTTCACAGAGCACTGCCCCGCCTTTTGCCTTGTCCTGCCTCCAGCGGCAGGTGAAGTCAGTGTTGCACTGGGTGCAGATGAAAGGGTCTCTGACAGAGGGCTTGGACAGTGCTACACCTGTCCTTCCTGGATCAGAGAGAGATGGGACACACAGAGGCACTGAGCGCAAATGAGCAGAAGTGATAGCATTACATCAAATAAGTAGCTCAAAAAAAAGACACAGACAGGCAGACAGATAATTCAATCCAAGCTGAAAGGTGGAGATGTCCTGACAGCAAATAGAAAATATCTGAATTCTAGAAAACTGAGCAGGACAATTAATAACACTTCTTTGAAACATTTCCAAAATGTCGGCCTCACACTGAGGGCTGCAACTACTGACTATTTTTATCACCATGAATGGTAGAATTGCTTTCTCAACTAATGGGTTATTTGCCCTAAAATACCCTTCACAACTTACTAAAGCTGATGGTGATGTCACGTAATTGCTTTGTTTTTTTGGACCAGCACCTAAAGATTTTGAGTTTACTATACATACAACAAAACAACAAGTCTTCACAGTTCAGAAGGTGGAACAACAGATTTCAAGTATTTTTCTACAACAAGTAAACAAAAGCCAGTAAAACAGAAAAAAAAAGACACACACACCTCTGTGGATGGTATCCAGCAGATTCTGTACCACTTCCTCCAGTCCCACCAGGTAGATGAACTCATTATTGGCAGCTGAGGGCAGGAAGTTAAACTCTGGGGCAGGGGGCTTGGGTGGGGGGATCTCCAGGAGGGTCTTCTCCAGCTGTTTGCGCAGGGCGAGTTTAGCTGCAGCTTGGCGGCTGGCTGGAGAGTCATTCACGCTAACCACAGACACACTGCCTCCTGAGGAAGAGCTCTTCAAACCCGATGGCGAGCCCTTTGAAAAAAGCAAAGATGGGAACAACACAACGTTGTTAAACCGTAAGTCAAGATCTTATCACCTGAGACTTGTTTGAATAATACACAGTTAACAAATGGCCATTGATTTTAATTAACTACAAAGTGTTTAAGGAGCACAGATGGTTCGAAGCTGCTTATTAACTAGAGTTTAAATGCTGAATAAATAAATAAAATTCACAGATTAATATGACTATTGTAGCATTTAACACATTTATACATAGTGACTAGGTTTGATTTGTTTTCACAGGGGATTCTGAAGCTTCATCAGACATTTTTAAAGTGACAGTGAAGTATGATCTCCTATGATCTTCAAACTAGCTTTGTGACAACATGGTATAAATTCGACAGTCATCTGATGATTTCGTGTACAGACATGATGCTGCATACCACAGATACAATCTTCAGTTGAACCACCTGCTCAGTGAAGCAGTCCAGAGCTTGCAAAGTCCAACAAGAAACCATTAACATAAGGAAGCTACTTTAATTCAAACTACAACACGTAATGT